ATTATCTTATAGGAAAATCGATTATTATACTGTGGTATTAAGGCAGAACAAAAGTACTCATATTGCTTTTATTTCTCAAAAAACAAAATTTGTTGTATTTTATTCGTTCTTGTGTCATTTTATCTAAGCGTACACATGTGTTGTGTGCAATTTTATCTAGCACGCGGAATGAGAAACAGAAGTTACCATTACTACCCAGGTCGACGAAAACTGATATTTAATTGTCCATTAACAGCCTGTTAACTGTATGCCAAAAAATGGCCTGTTAATTGTGTAAAAATCGAATGAAAATTGTCATTTAACAGCCATTATAATGACAATTGTTTGGCTTTGAAATAACGGTGAACCATGCCATCGAGTTCGAAAAAACAAGAAATGTGGCAGTATCTTGTTGTTCCACCGTTAATTGAACAAACTCAACGCAGAGAGCATGAAGAAAAATATAAATCAGAATTTAGAATTAATTATTCAAAAGCGCGTACACAATTTGTTCGTCGATTATTAGCTGAATTTCTCGGTACATTAATACTTGTTGTAGCATTCGGCGCCCTCAGTATTCAAGCCAGACAACAGCGTATTACAGTTGAAAGTACTGCAGTATCTGGTGGCTTTATTGTTTTGGCTTTAGTACACTCCTTAGGTCCAACCAGTGGTGCACACTTTAATCCTGTTGTTACTGTGGCATTTGCACTTCGATTGGTTTTCCCGTTTATATGGATTCCATTTTATTTCATGTCACAGTTCCTTGGTACTTTGACTGCTGCCTTCTTATTAACAGGCTATTGATTTAAGACGTCAATGATACAGAAAAGTTATATACACTACCGAAACAAGTTGAATATCTGTAGATATGGAGCGGACGTTCTTAATGTTTTGTGCTCAAGGAGTTTATTTCAAACGAACGAAGTACACTTAGCTACAAATGCTGTTGATACAGAACAAGTCTCAATATTTGACGGTTTGAAATGGGAAATATTTTTAACATTTATTTTAGTATTCGTTATTTTACAAACAGCAACGAAAGCACACATAATCGGACAACAAGCCGCATTGGCTGTTACGGGTGCGATTGTTTTTATCTGTTTAATTGGATCAAAAACAAGTTCTACATCGTTAAATCCATTTAGAACACTGGCACCGGCTATAATTAACTCAAGTTCGGATCAAAATAAAAGCTTATGGATTTTCTTAATAGGACCTAGTATTGGAAGTATTTTAGCAGTGATCTTCGTTGGCCTATTACAAGGATTTCGACCGGAAACCACCAGTGAGATGAAACTGGCACAAGGAACGGAAAATAATATTACAACAACAGCAACTGAACATGAGTTGTTACAATAGTATACATTAGTAAATAAGTGAAATACAAAATAGTTACTATGATTATGATAGCTGACAACATATTATTGAAACAGAATGTGTAAAAATGAACATCTATCTTCAGTATTTAATAAGTGTCCTTCACGAAGATTATGTAGTTATATAATTTTAATAAGATCCAAATTCAAAAACCTCGAGTTCGAGTTCTAGAAACCTGAGTGGTAAATATAATTGCGATTCTCATACTTCCTGTTACCAACTTGCTAATAAAGTTTTTAAATTTTCTACCTTTATACATATTTGCATTCGTATCCCGGTGTATGCATAGATCGTATTTCGTATTTTTTATTATTTTCCTTCTCTTGATCCAGATTAGGACTAACTTTAGCGTTTATTTAAGGGGGGGTCCCCCCACCCGTTTTTTCCCAGCAGTTTGTGGAGGACGCTTCGAAGTGTACGTCTCAACAAAGCTTTCAGTTCCCGGACTTATAGTTTTTGATAAAAAAAATTTTTAATTTTTTTTCGGGTTTTGTGCCCTACTTTTAAAATTTCAATAAAAACTTCATGTTTTGACATGAAGAGTTGATTCTAGCGTAGTTCGATAGAGAACATTAATTTGTATAAGGAGAAAAACTTTACATCGTTCCCAAATGAAGTTTGACGGAGA